GGCTGCTTTTAATATATTTCTTTTTTTCCATAATGTTGCATGGGTACATTGATCTTAGCATTCTGTTCTCAAAATTAAGATAATTTATTGAAGGTTTTTAACTGCAGTATATCAAAAGTGAATAAATTGCACACTGTACTAATATTTCTCTTGATATCTTTTTTAAAGTAAATTTCAAACATTAAAGCTATTTAGACAGAAAGCTGGATAAGTATTATGAAATCAGCTTCATAAAAACGAATCATACAGTAAAATGGCACAGATGACTATCATTTTAAAGATGATAATTGCGCATAGACAAAAACAGATTCGTAATTAGATGCAATGTGCGAATGCATCAGGTAATGATTGTAAGGTTGCATAACAGTAACCTCACAAAGACACAATGATTAAAGTTTATCCCGAAAATTAGAAATCGAGACAGCGTAAAAATATGTTTATAATTTTTCACATGTAAATAGAGGAAGTATAAAAATATCGTAAATAGTGACATTAACATTAACTATTAGATTAAAAATTGAAAAATATTGTTTAATTTATTCAACTACCTTTTAGCAAATAAATATTTTAATAAATGTTAATAAAACCATTTGGTACATTTTTTTTCTCAAAAGGGCCTTTAATTCATCGAAAATTTGTAAACATAAACATTATCTAAACATCATAAAAAATGAATTTCTTACACAAATTTCAGTTTAACATGTATGAACACGTTTCATAACTTATTAATCTAATGAAATTTCATGATGTTAAATTATCGCACAGATGTCAATGATGACTTGCTATTGGGTAATTTGAGAATGTTATTTCTTAAATTTCACAATAAATGTGATGTGATTTTTTCTTGAATACAGGCAAACAAATTTTCGAACTGTTCGCCTTAAAATAATTATCCAAATATTTGGATAAGGCCATAAAATAAATATGGTGGTAATATACATAAACTTCACATAAATAAATATTCAAAATGACCTGAACAAATTTATTACAAGTACTCTAAACATAATAAATTTTTTTCCTTGCTAAATTTATTAAGTTTTATATTTAAAAAAGGGCAAACTTTGTCCGTGTCTGTGAATGAGAAATATTTAATGTTTAAGCAATCATCGGTTATTATCACATTAAGCATAATAAATATACATTTTTAAGCCATCATCAATTTTATGATTCTTTAAATACAATATTAAAGGTTTCTTTCTATTTACATACATAATTTATTTTAATATTTTACAGTATTTCTTACTGGATAAAATAGATGCTTAATATATTTTGTCTATTTAACTTTGTAAAACTGTTTATTCATATTGTAGGTTCTCAACAGAAAAACAATGTCGACTTTAAACCAATTTTTTGATTTTATTTTAGAATAATTTAAAACAAACTACGAAGAACAAATAAACCATTTCTTGAAAAGGAAATTTAAGTCATTTCTGAAAAATGTTAATAAGCCATTTCTGAAAATTTTTCTCATTTAAACACATTGTAGGTGTCGCTACTGATGCCTGCTTTGTCTGAATGCGCTAACACGCTAATCATTTCCATATCACAGCACTTTCTTCCTGTCGTTTAAATTTCACGTCTGTGCATGTCGCCTTCTTGGTGTAGCAATTTTAATGTCCAGTAGTGTATTTACATACATAATTTGTTATAGTATTATACAGTAGTTCTTACTGGAGAAAATAGATGCTTAATATATGATAAATATATTAAACATCTATCTATCAAACTATATATAGTAGTTATATGTTTATTCATATTGTTGGTTCTCCACAGAAAAAAAAATGTCGACTTTAAACCAATTTTCTGATTTTTTTTTAAATAATGGAAAACAAACTACGAAAAACAAATAAGCCATTTCTTGAAAAGGCCAATTATTTTTTTATGTATATTTGAAGCATAGGTAAATCTAAAGAAGAAAATGTTTTTGCATCGTCTTAGAACATTATTATAAAAGAGTCCTTTAGTTTAAAAATTAATAATAAATTTTTAAGCCATCATCAATTTTATGATGCTTTAAATACAAAATTAAAGGTTTCTTTCTATTTACACACATAATTTGTTTGTCTATGTACCTACACAGCCATCATCAATTTTATGATGCTTTGAATACAATATTAAAGATTTCTTTCTATTTACATACATAATTTGTTATTATACAGTATTTCTTACTGGAGAAAATAAATGCTTGATATATTTTATCTAGTTAACTTTGTAGGACTGTTTAGTCATATTGTAGGTTCTCAACAGAAAACAAAATGTCGACTTTAAACCAATTTTCTGAATTTATTTTAAAATAATGGAAAACAAACTACGAAGTACAAATAAACCATTTCTTGAAAAAGCCAATTAATTTTTTTTATATATATTTGAAGCATAGTAAAATCGCAAGAAGAAAATGTTTTTGCATCGTCTTTGGAACATTATTATAAAAGAGTCCTTTAGTTTAATCAGTCAAAACACTTTCGCTACAAGTACAAACTAGGATGGAAATCATTACATGAATTTTAAAGCTAAGACGCCTACGCAGTTCTGGTATCTGCTTCTTCATACAATTTGTTTTGAATGCTACATCCTGAAGAAGAAGAAAAAAACTACCTTTACATTAATTTAAGAATCTCCAAATAACAGTCCTCCACCTTCACCTTCTTTGGTAATCTCTCTGCTGCAGACATCCCTTGCATCTCTTAGATCTAAAAACTGGGACACTACATTCACTATTTTAAAATTTAGTTCCTTTTTATACTTCTCTAAGATCGAAAAGAGGCGAATTGAAATCCGTGTACAAGTGATGAGATGGATAGATAGAATGCTTGTGGTGGAAAGAAGAGAGGTAGGTAGTAGGAAGAAAACGGGATGAACTTTGAATTATTCATGAATCCTAGTTTCTATTTCCCTCCCCTCCCTTTCCTGAGCATCCCTATTCCCCCTTCCTTGGAACCCCTCTACCAGAACGTCTAGGACATAAGCCCCATCCACTTCCTTTTTTATACTTTTTTATCTTTTGTTGCATTTGTCCTAGAATTTTATTTATTGCTCGACTTTTTTTCCCCTCCCTCGCTCAGTTGTAGAAAAGGTTGTCTGAGTCTCTCGGTTGATGTCACCCTTATGCAAACCTTTGAAATTTCGATTTGGAGTTGCCAGAAGAAAGACATGGTCTTCGCCACAGTGTCTGTGTTAAAGAGTTTTAAAGTCTGTTCTTTCACCCAACAGAATGAGAGATGCCCATTGATTTAGGGAACCATCAATGTTTTCGAAGATATGAATCAGTCATTTTTTGGGGGCATGTATCCATAGCCTTATGCTGTTACTCATTTAGAACTACCCAGAAAGCAAGCACGGGTTGTCACACACGCGAATAGCATTACCTCCCATCCCATCTACCTGTTTAAATGGGCATCAATAAGGCTAATCTGCTTGTTTGATCAGGACTGGACTCTAACTTAAAACAAAATGGTGATTTGTGTACTCTTTATTGGAGGGCCAAAGAAAGCATAAAATATCCTGCTCACAAAGACTTTTATTAGGGTACTTCTAGCTTTTAAATTTTATATCCTCGGAACATTTAACTAGCTTTTAACACTTTTTAAGATTGGATCGTTTGGTTAAGGATGTCTGCTCTTTTCCCTTCGTAATTTTGATTTCTTTGTGGGTTTTTTTTGTTTTGTTTTGTTTCTACGGTAAGTGGCCGAATGAGTATGTATTGAGTTCCAATTTAGCCATAGGTAACAACAACAGATATGAACCATATTTTACCACACGTGGACAAAATGCTCTAGTAAGTCTCTCGTGCCCACAATTATGTAAATGACAAGTGACTTGTTCGTTTATATTTGGGTAAAAAAATGTGATGATAGTTTCAACGAGTTGGCAAAACTGCTTAATTGGAAAAAAAATGAAATTTGTGTTCGCTTTTATCATATTTTTGCATCATCTGATAAAATATTTTAATTCTTTTGACAATTTCCCTCTCTAGTTTCAGACAATTTGTCTTAAAAATTTCCAGCAATTTTTTTTAATCTGTCAATTCTTAATTATAGAATCTTTCAAATTACTTCCTCATTCTACTGGCATGCAGAAAAAGACCAATAACTGTACTTATCAATTTAAACTGATTCCTAGACATTTTCTTTTCTGAAGTATCAACATTGTATCCCTTACTTTTTGTCAATATTTCAGTTCTCATTGATTGAACCCTCTAAATTTTTTTTGGCTTTATTTTCCATTTGAAATGTCTGTTTATTTCCAAATCCCACGCATCTTTATCTTTTTAATTTAACTTTTCACGATAAACTATTAAAAAAAGAGGGTTTTATTTTTACTTAACCACTAACTAACAGTCAAAGAAGTCAAGATAAGAGTTAAAGGTTGCTATGCGACTACGTCAACTAACAACACGAAATTCCTCAAAATAGTGTCTAAAGATAAATTTATGTTTATAAAAGTTCATTCAACCATCACTTTTCTGTGAGAATTTCGCAGAAGTATTGAAGTACTTAAACAATTGTCTAGATGAAATTCCAGCTTGTCAGATTTTTATATATGTTGTTTCTTATCCCACTTGGTAGACAGCAACATCTAGATCAAGTCAAAGAACCCATGTAGTCTCATAGAAGGAGACAAAGGGAAGAGGGCAGCTTCTGTTATGATGGAACACCCAAGGTAGAATTCTGACTTGACTCCGTGACAGCGACTTTTGTTGTTGTTGTTTCTTATCCGACTTCGCAGACATTTCTAGGCCAAGCCCACGAGCCCATACGTACTCATGATTGAAGGGGAAGGAAGCAGGTTCTGTTGTGATGAAGCGCCCGTAGGTAGAAGCCTCACTTTTGCTCCGTGACGCTCTTGCAGTCATAGGAGACCGGGACCTACGGCTTAAGGTGGATTCCGAACCACTGCAAATACTCATGGCACCGCCGGGACACGAACCCGAAACCTGTGGCACCGAGCGCCAGAGCGCTAGACACTCGCCCATTAAGGTTCCAAATTTGTGAATGCCAAAGGCACGCGGTGTTCCCAGGTGGTCACCCACCCAAGTACTGACCGCGCCCAATGATGCTTGACTTCGGTGATCTAACGAGAACCGGTATATTCTGTTTGGTATGGCCGTTGGCGCGAATTTTTACGGGGTAGAATTGTCAGCCCTACACTCAGCAATCATATTAGACCGGGTCCTACGGCTTAAAGTGGATTCCGAACTACTACAAAAATCATGGGACTGAGTAATTGACCGCCAGTCAATCGGCCATCACTTCCAATTTTGATATATTGCTATAGTTGTTGAATTTCTTAGTTAGAGTAGTATTCTCTCCAATAACCTCATAAATTTTTTGAATTATTGAACATTCGTATATTCCTATAAATATTCGTTCAGAAAAGTATGTTCACATATGAAAAATTTAAATTTTCCTTTTGTTCATATTGTTGTACAATAAATATTTTCATTTTTTTCCTTCCCGAAATCATTGGAAAATTTTGAAAGTATTGAATACCATATATATTTTATATATTTCATTATTTCATGTTTTTAAAGAATTCAATATGCATTCGTATTCTATTTAAATGCCTGAGTATATATTTTTCTTATATTCATTTAGGTTTCCTCAGGAATTCATGAAATAAAAATTCATCATGGGAAAAATTAAATTAACCGATTAATTAACGAAATTGTACAGTGATTCAACTCAAGACTATAATAACTTTATATCAGTTATGGGAGAATTTACTTTATAAATATTATTTTTTTTTTCGTTAATTGATACGTATCACTATATAGGAAAGGCATTGAATGAAATAAGATTAATCTAGATTTTGATTGGATGGGTTTTTTTATAGTTTGATATCCGTAACATTGTAGCTTTTAATTTATTTCCAAATTACATAGGAATTTTCTTTCATTGAAAATACAGTTTAAAAACTTCTGAATTGATATATTTTGACATTCTAAGAATTCTTTAATATTGTATCTGGTTACGTTCAAGTTATCATTAATATTCAGTACACTTAGAGAAGATAATTATTTACTTTTACTTTCTCTACAGGGCACATCTACACATGTTTTATGATTTAAAAAGAAAGTATTATTGAAACCCAGATTCTTAATTTTAAAAATAAATTGATTGGACCTGGATTGTTTTAAATTGATATAAATTTAAAGGGTACTAAGAGCTTGATAGCGTATCTAAATTTCCAAAACTTCTCTATATATTCATATTTTTTTTTCTCTTCTAACATTATACACCGTTGTACAATTCAGATATTGTACACTATTACAATTTTTTTCTTTACTTACTTATTTTTTAAACTGAATTATTTAAACAGGATGATTTATGACACGTCTGAGTAATCTACAGCCCGCGGTATGAATCCAGCCCTATAATTATTTTGTTTCAGCCCTGATCCATTTTTTTAGTGAAGTTAATTGGATTTAACGTAAAAGAAAATATGGTGTTCCAGAAAAATTATTCATCTTTTCAGCACCATATATGTGTACAAATATATATATATATATATATATATTTTTTTTCTTTTTTTTTTTTTTTTTTGAGAATGAAATACTATAAATCAAAAGTTTAACCAAGGATAACAGATGAAAATCTGGAAAATTCTATGAAATTATTCTTAAGGATCTCATGCTTTTTATGAATATGAAGCACAATTCTTATAATACACTGAAGTGACAAAAGTCATGGGATACCTCTTAATGTCGTGTCGGCCCTCCTTTCTCCCGGCGAAGTGCAGCAACTCGACGTGGCATGGACTCAACAAGTCGTTGGAAGTCTTCTGCAGGAATATTGAGCCATGCTGTCTCGATAGACGTCCATAATTGTGAAAGCGTTGATGGTGCAGGATTTTGGGCACGAACAGACCTCTCGATGATGTCCCATAAATGCTCGATGGGATTCATGTCGGGCGATCTAGGTGGCCAGATCATTCGTTGGAATTGTCCAGAATGTTCTTCAAACCAATCGCGAACAGTTGTGGCCCGGTGACATGGCGCATTGTCATCCATAAAAAATCCCATCGTTGTTTGGGTACATGAAGTCCATGAATGGCTGCAAGTGATCTCCAAGTAGCTGAACATAAGCATTTCCAGTCAATGTTCGGCCCAGTCGCACCAGAGGACCAAGTCCATGCCATGAAAAAACAGCCCACACCATTACGGAGCCACCACCAGCTTGAACACTGCCTTGCTGACAGTTTGGGTCCATGGCTTCGTGGGGTCTGCGCCACACTCGAACCCTACCATCAGCTCTTACCAACTGAATCGTGACTCATCGGACCAGGCCACGGTTTTCCATTCATCTAGGAACCAATCGATATGCTCGCGTGCCCACGAGAGTCGCTGCAAGCGATGTCGTTCTGTCAGTAAAGGCACTCGAGTCGGTCTTCTGCTGGAATAGCCCAAGAAAACCAAATTTCTCCACACAGTTCTAACAGACAAGTCCTTTGTACGTCCCACATTGATTTCTGCGGTTATTTAAAGCAGTGTTGTTTGTCTGTTAGAATTTACGACTCTTTGCAGACGTCGCCGGTCTCGGTCGTTAAGTGCAGGCGGTCGACCACTGCGCTGTCCATGGTGGGATGTTATGCCTGAAATTTCATACTCTCGGCACACTCTTGACACAGTGGATCTGGGAATATTGAATTCCCTAACGATTTCCGAAATAGCATGACCCATGCGTCTAGCTCCAAGTAACATTCCGCGTTCAAAGTCTGTTAATTCCCGTCGTGCGGTCATCATCACGTCAAAACCTCTTCACATGAATAACTTGAACAGAAATGAAAGCTCTGCGACAGCACTGCGCATTTATACTTGTTCTACGCGATGCTACTGCCATCTGAAAATTTGCATATTGCTATCCCATGACTTTTGTCACTTCAGTGTATAAATACGATATGAAGTAGCAATTTCTTTTAATTCGTTTAATAATAATTTATTTTCTTTAATAATTTGGTGTGATCCTTGACACTGAATGATAAATTTTCTTCCAAACTTAGAAAGGATGTTAATTCATGATTTATAATAGTTTTTTTTTTGTCATTATAGATGTGTGTAGTTGTGTAGTTTTTGTTAAGGCAATCCTTACAGATTAGAGGGATTTAATCTTTTATGATCTACGGAGAGAATATTTCTTTTTAATATTTAAAAACATTACAATTGAGTTATATCAAAAACAGCTAACCGAAAATATGATTCAATAGCAATACATGCTTTTTTTAATAAAACATTATATACTCGTACGTAGCTTTATTTAGTTTTTAGTAATCTAGCTTTTATTGACTTTCAAAATAAAATTTTAAGTATTCGACAAATATCTTTTCTCTCGGAATCTTAGTTTTTTGTAAAGTTTCAATGTATTTCGTTTATTAATATGAATCCAAAATAAAATCGTCTGTTTATTTGTCCTTTGCACTTTTTTTTCGAAATTCTTTTTATTTGCATTATTTATTCACTGGGGACTTTTACAACTCTTTTAAAATTAACATAGGAAAACATGAAGCTTTTATTTGTTTTTTACTATTTAAAAACTTTTCTGCAGATGCCAAATTTGTAAACAAGTTCCTATTGCTTGCAATTTTGTGTGTTATGTTCTATTAGATCTAAAGCATGATGACTGTCTTTTCTAGCAGATGGTTTGGTAAAGGAAACAATTAGCATTGAGAATTTTTTATAAACATATAAAAACCCAGACTGTATCATTTCAATGTTTATTTATACATTGAACTGAATAAACATGCCATGAGTTATCTGATTTTTTCATGCAGTTTTATTACATGTAATTATGCATTAATATTTATTAAAACAATTATTGATCAATCCATAAGTATTTGCGCATAAATATTTACCTTTGCATACCAAGAACAAGAGAAATTTCTGCCTTTCTAATAAGGAGTTATTTATCATAAAATATAGTATTTTTAATGATTTATTCTGTTTAATTCATATTCTCCGTTACAAGAGCTATACTTTTTCTGAATGAAAACTAATGTGTTCGTAATATGCAATTAATCCATTGTATTGAAATGCAACTATAACTAAATGCATTAAAAAATAATCAGCAATTTTAATGTAAATTGGCATTATTGAAATAAAAGCCTGTTTATGTATTCTTTTTTGTCGGATCCCAGTTAATTTTAAAAATATGAAAATAATTCAATTTTTACTTGTAATGTGATAGTAACCGAATAAAAAAACTCATAAATACGTTTCTGGGGATTTTAATATTTTTTAATTTTTAATGAATAAATCTTTACAAATCAAAAAGCAATTATAAGTTTTATTGAAATTTATGTTGATTAAACTTTTTGTTCCTCAAAGCATTCTTCGGTATCACTTCTTTTGTGAGTTTCCATTTACTTAGGGTGAATCAAACGTAAATGGAATGATGGTGATGAAATGGTGGTGAAAGTACATACTCTCCCCCCCCCCCAACTGTGTTAAGGTTCGTGATGAATCTTTAATTTCTCTTGTTGGAGCATCTTTAATTTAAATATCTCTTACCGTTGCCGAATGGACTTTTAGCTGGGTAATTTTTATATAATTTCTAAAGTGTTTTTTTTATTGCCTTCAAAGATTAACTGGCATGAAGATCAACACATAGCAAAGGATTTTTCATTATTCCAGGCTATGTTACAAAATTTAAAACGATTGTTAACGACTACCATCGTTATCGAAATGGACACACAAACAAAAATTAAGTTCACTATTGTAACATCAAACTTCAGCAATCAAAATTCACAATACGAGGAGACACAAAAAAATTGCAATATATTATAAATTACATACACAATAACATTAAAAATACAATACATTACATACATACACAATAACATTAAAAATGCAATACATTATAAATTACATACACATGCATTGTAATGTTTTAAAATCATCACTCTATAAAAGTGGTTCTCAAATGATGTACCATGTAATATTCTAGAGAAATATGTGCCCGGATATAAAAATATAGTTACTCCTTTTGTTGTCAGTTTTTTTGAATGAGAGATAACTTTCATTACAAACACCTAACCTTTCTGATTGATTTTTTTTTCTTTCTTCACAAAAAAAAAATCGCCAAACTCCAAAAATGAGCCAAAGAAGGTTTCCTA